CGCCGTATCAGGACTCGGCTCTGTATCATCAGGCTTATCGGTTTCTAGCTTGTAATCAAACACTTGGTCTTCGGGCATTACATCTCTCGGATCCACAGGGGTGGTAGGGCCGGTTGTCGAGCCGGTGAAGCTCCTGCTCCGAGGGCTGCCATTGCTGCCATTGGGTTTGTCCGTTTCGAGCTGGTAATCAAACACTTGGTCTTCGGGCATGATGTCCTTGGTATCCACGGGCGTGGTCGGTCCCTTGGTAGAACCGGTAAAGCTTTTGCTCTTGGGTCTATCATATCCATCTGGTTTATCCGTTTCCAGCTTGTAGTCGAACACTTGGTCTTCGGGCATGATATCGTTGGGATCGACTTTGGTTGTGGGGCCGGTTGCCGACCCGGTGAAGGTTTTAGAACCGGAACCAGAACCGGAAGCGGAAGCGGAAGGCGACTCAGAGGAAGGGAGTCCTTGTTGTAGTAGTTCACTCTCAATCTGGTCCAGTTCCGCTGCCTTGGCAATGATGATGTCGTGAAAGGTCAAGTGGCGATGCGGATGGGCTTTGATGGCAGCTTCCTTTGCTGCGAACCTGTTGTAAGTCAAAAGTGTTATCTAGTCTGTCCTGGACAAGAGTGGTATATGGGGAGTTCAAAGAAGAATAGCCTACCTCCCAGCCATAAAAGCAGCTACCTCACCCAGATCAACACCATGACCCTTCCACTTCTGTTCTAGCCTTTTACCATGGCCATGACCAAGCCCCTCGATCTCCTTGCCCTGCTGCTTAAGGGTCTCATGCTCCGTTGCAAACTTTAACACCGCACGTAAGTATGGCTTGAGTTTGGAGCTGGGCCTCTTCAGCTCTTCTTCACACAGGATCCTGCGAACAAAGTGTCGACCGCGGCCGGTAGGGCACGATAAGATGGTTTGGATTCGTGATACCTGGCAGATATCGGTGCCAACGCCCATGGGCCACGGAAAACGGATGAGTCGAGATGCCATGGTAGAATATAGATAGCGACCTAACTAGTGAGAATGCAAATCTAAGCTGAAAAGAGGACGAAGAGTGGTGCGCAGTACATTGAGGTGACGGCATTGTGATGGACGATACAACGTGCACGAGAACCTCATGGATCTGAGGTGATGTGGTGTTCTAGACCGACGCCCCGCTGAAGCAATCACTAAAATGCCCTATAAGGACGGGCTAAGACGCTAAAGCACGGGAGTTGGTTGCAACACCTCAACCTTACGTCATGAATCGCTTTAACGATAACTTATCGATAAGAGAAGCTACCAGCTACGATAAGCTAAAGGAGGACCTCGACGAACCATGCCATTGAACTTTCTGTCTTTTCCTGAGAACATCGCGCATTGTGTTGTGATTCCTTCATTTTCTTTCCTTTTTTCGGTGCCTGTGAAGCATATGATTATTATTATGCCAAAGTCCAACCATGTCGAATGCAAAGAATCTCCTACCCCGCGGCCGACCGATGCCGCAACTCCGAATCAACGAGCGTTGTTATGGGTATTTTTCAACATCGTACAACTTTGGAAGGGTTTACCCTTCCATCAGAAGGGAGCCTGTACAGAAACAGGCCAAAAGCTCTTTCTCAAGATGCTTAGTTGTCGCCGAGAAGAGGAGCGCGCTCGGCATCAGGCTGAGTCTCGCGTCTGCCCCAGCTGACCTCCTGACCGGTCCAAGCAGGTACGGCGACGATCACAGTGAAGACGAACAGAACTGCCATGATGGTGAAGGCAAAGATCCACTGGAATGCAATCACGCGGTCAAAGAACTGGGCGACTCCCAAGGAAGCAGCGAGAACGCTCAGGTTGAAGCCCATGGTGTAGTCCTACGAGCTGTTAGTAAACAGTGTCCATCACAAGCGGTCGGTGACTAGCTTACCTTGTAGATGACAATGAAGAACATTCCGTAGACCAGGATCGACCAGATAAAGACGTTGGCAAAGATGCGAGCAACGAAGCTATGCTGGGCAGGGACCATGATGGCACCGTTCCAGTACAAAGCCACGAAGGTCCATGCTAGGGGACCGGACACAGCGGGCATGTGAATGCCCCTGGGGTACGCATTGTGGCGGAAGTACAGCGACGTGAGGTTGATGAAGTTGATGATCAACAAGATCTCGGACCAGATGAAGTGCGAGCGAACGAAGAGCATCACCCAGCCGAAGTGAAGCAAATTGTTGAAGATGAAGTGGCTACCGACAGAGGCGGCAGCGTTGACCTTGGCGGAATCGTTGGAGAAGAGGTGACTGATGTAGCCTAGCTGGAGAATGAACAACACGAGCCTGCCTGAATGTCAGCATTGTCCCAAGATAACAACCGCGGCGGGTGGAATTGTGGTGGTGGTACTCACCAGTAGATGGAGGTGATGGTGGCATTCTGTGTGAAACCCGAGCGATGGGCATAGTTCTGTCCCCAAATCGTCCGGCGAATGAGGTGTCCATCATTGGGCGATTCGAAATCGTAGTAGACGGTCGTGACGACGGACAGGACCCAAGAGAGCAGAGTCAGGACCTTGTAAGTGGTGATGGATGTCGGGCTATGCGCTTCACGCTTCGCGAAGGGGTTGACTGTTGAAAAGCTGGTTAGCGCTGTATACGACAATGACTGACGAGAATGTGGATATCCACCTACGATCGCTGAAGTTCGCCATGTTGAGCAAGCAAAGGGCAAATGAACCTATGTGAGCTCAGTGGGCAGACCTTTGATTGATGGTGTTGTGTTGTTGTTGTTTTTTTGGAAAAGATTCCGACAGAGGGAATACGAGGAAGAAGAGGTGACGAAGCAGGCCTGCGGACAGATGTAGGGGCGTTATGTAAGGGCCGAGAGAAAACAAAAACAGGGTGGGCAAGACCAGATTGGGATGGAAAATGGGAAGAGGGTGTGGAGGGTGTTTCGGTTTGCGGGGAAGCAAGGAGGCAGTGAGAACTGATGTAAGTGGACAAGCACGGAAGGTGATGGAGAGCTACACGACTGCGGTACAGGTAATTTCCATCCAGCAAGAGCAACTCTTTCATGCAATACCGAACGGGGGGGCGAAAGGCAGGAACCTAGGTCTCGTGCGTTTCCTTTCCTTGCTCTTATACTCTTTATTGTACAGGATGTTGTGCCCAAAGTAGGTGGCCTTTGGCCGCTTCCCCGCGTGAGGATGAGGCCACTTGCGAACGGGGTTTCTATCCGTCGACAACACCCAGGAAGACCATCGAGATGAGCTAAAGAGAACATGAAATAAAAAAGGTACTTCTCTACTTCCCTAGCCGCGTGAAGTGCGTCACTGTCTTGGCCCTTCCACTTTGTTCGTTCATCCGATCCGTGCCACCCACAACAGGCCAGAAACAAGCAGCTCTTTCAATGGAAAGGTCGGATTATCCCAGGCAGAGGTAACCATCATCAGATTCATCTCCCCCGGCGGTTTCACCACATGACTCTGGACTCGGACAAGCTCCTGGAGCTGAAGCCGGTAAGGTAGCTTGTTAGACTTGCGCAAGCCCGCCTGCTGATGATTTGCGGACCGTTTCACGCGTTCGCGACTGGCAGGCCCCTTTTGATGCACAATACGAATCCATTCACCGGTTGCAATGGTTATCAATACCTAAAAAGAGCCAAGTTGGAGAAAGAGAACTGTCGAGGATCTTGATGGGCGGGAACTAGAAGGAGGACGGAGTCTCGAACTTGAGAACCTTGAGGAATTAGATGCACCGTGACAGAGTGGAGAGAGAGGTGGGGCTGGAAGGCAGATGAGGTCTTTCCATGCTTTTGATTGGACAGAACGGCTGGAAAATGTCGTCATCGTGCGTGCCCTGTTCAGTGTCGTGGTCTCCAAGCCGGCCTATACCAATGTCCACCTGCCTGTTCATCACAAATGGAAGTTGAAATACTTGAGACTCATGAGAAGAAGCTTATTCGCGGAGTTCCGGCACATGATATGTTGAACATCTTTTGCCTCATCAGAGAATACCTAGGCAATGGATGGAAAAGACGCTACGGACGGGATACTACTGAGATGGACGGGACACCGCCTCTGTTTGTTACCTCCCATTTATGCCCGCATAGAAGATCACGATATTCTGATACGTGAGTTATGCTGGGCAACTAAGCGTCGTCATGCTGTGCTCCAGTGCCGTCTTAAGCTCAAACACCACCATCCACTCAGCCTTCTTGGGTCTATCTTCGATCGTCCTGTATCAATGACCAATCACTGCTCCAGTTACCACTATCTTCATTGAAGCGCAGCTGTTATGGTCTAGAGAATGAAGTGTGTTAACACGAAGTGAGCGAGCATAGCCAACACCAACACCTTCGATATAGCCCGCTAATACAGTTTCTGTCTAGTATAACCATGTGAAGAAGGAGATCAATCTCATTACTTGCGTGGCTTTCTATCCCGGGCCAGTTCTACCGCCTAGACATCAATGATGATCGGCCGGATGGTTCTATCGTGGGTTACTGACATGCATGATTGTAGGATCTTTTTCTGAGTATCTACATGCCATGTCCAAAGCCCTAGGTCTGGGTTATCCAGCGCAGACTGCTGAGCTACCTACTAGGCGAATTGCCGTTGCTGAGTATCAAGACAGGGTGAGAGTTTTGGCTTCAAAAGTATCGGCGAGCTGAAGCCGTTAGTTGGATGCTACGCTTTGTTGTAGCCTTTGGGGTTATGTGCTTGGACTCTACCAACAGAGTTGTGTCCATGGCCAACTCAACCCCTTGTTGGCTGGCATCGACAGCTTCAAGGACTTGGGTCTTGGACTTGTTGTCAACATGTACCTGGTTCTCAATTCCAAAATCATTATGGCGTTGTCGCTTAAAAGCCTCCTGCGATGGCATTGCTCCTCATCGTTGCTGCCGGAGACGGGAGTGGGCAGATCACTCTCCTCAATATCAGTTATCATTTCTCTAATCCGAGATATGGTTTAATGAGTCCACATTGGACCTCTTCATCAACCCAACTCCCACCCGTTCTAGAATATATAAGATCGCTTGTCCACAGACCTTTCCGTGGCCCTTTGGTGTAATGGTCAAACACTACTTGACTGATGCTTCGTCGTTCTGTGCAGCGGCCTACTGTCCAGCTTAGAAGTTGCCGGTTCGAATCTGGTACGGGCCACTCCTTTTTCTCTTTTTGCTTTCCTGTCAAAGTTCAGGATATCTGTATATAGGGCCAGCCAACGGGCAACACAGAGAAATGGACGAAGAAACATGAAGCTAAGGAGAATGAAGAAGAATTAGATGGTCCCACTTACATTTACTGATTTTAAAGCGAGTATTTGTGTTGTGCCCTCAACGCCTTTGGAATAATTCCTTTACTCGAACATGTTATGCCATTCATTCAAAGCATTGGGTATCTTTGCCAGCTAGATCGCTGTCCTCCATCAGTATATCCTCTTTTGGTGCCGGTGATTCGCTTCATCTGCTGTTTCGAATCTTAATCATCATCGTCATCGTAGTCAAAAATGTCCTGATGGAACACATCAGGAGGCACTGGCCTCAATCTCCGCCATCTTCTCATCCATCCTCCTAGCCATTTCCGCTTCCATATCAACTGGCTCCTCACATCCACCAGCATGGCCGTTCCCAACACTTAACCCCCTCCTCCTTAGTTCACCCTCGACATTCGTCCTCCTAATCATGCCTCCTCTGCCCCCACTCTCTGTTTCCCCCTTCATCCTCTCCATATCCTCCCTCATCTTCCTCCCCCAACCATCCACACTCCTCATACCCACCACCAAAAACCCCAGCTCCTCGCGATCCACATCAAACACCTCCCACCACTCGCACTCAGGCATCTTGGCGCCCACGTCCTTAGCGGCATTGTAGATAGCCGCCACAGCCAGCGCGTTCGGCTGACTGGTTAAGTACAGCATTTGCGGCGACAGAAGTGAGGTGTTGAGATATGCGAGCGTTCGTTTCGATATTGTGGACTTGGAGGTGTTGAGGAAGTCGAGAGCTTGGAGGTAGGTTATCGCCAAGGAGTGGGGGAGGGAGACGTGCGTGTCGAAGGAGAGCGCGTACAGGATGCGGGATTCGCAGTTCAGCATGCGCGTGTGGAAGGAGTTGTAGATGTGCTCGGGGAGGTAGTAGTCGTTTGGGATGTTGATTGGTGGTGGTGGTGATGGTGGTGACTCGTCAGACACGGTCGCAAGCGGGTGAAAGAAGGTCGAGGAGGGGGAGAGGAGGTAGTTGTACACGAGGGCGAGGTCGCGCGGGGATCGAGGGTATGGTGAGAGTTTGGCGGTTAGGTAAACGGAGGCTGCTGAGATGTCCTGGGAGAAGGGGAGAACGCATTAGTGGGTGTTCTTGGTGAGGCGACCTTGGGGGAAGAAGATGTGGGCTTACACTAAACTCGTGGTCCATCATGGGCTCTTCTAACCAGTATCGCGCGAGGAGAACATTCGCCTGGGCTGTGACAGATTGCGGGAGCTGGAGGAGCAGACCGGCTGCTTGGGTGAGGCATTGGGTCGAGAAGAAGATGGCGTCTTGCAGCTCTGTGGGAAGCGCGCTGAAGGAGCGCCGTTGGTAGAGCTGTTCTGGCGTCGCTAGGGGATTTATCATATGCGACATGATTGCTTGTCGACAGATGGTCGTCTTTGAGGTTGATTGACTGTCGTCGGTTGGCTTTTACGGAAGATTAAAGTAGCTGGCCCAAGATGAAGCTGGAGGATGGAGAGTCGCGAAAGTCACATCGCGAACTGCATTGGGCAATCGATTGATGGCCTCTAAAGGATGTCCGGGTTAGGGTTCGGGTTGTACGTGCATCACTTACACGAGCAAGCGAGTTTGACGGGCTGCTGTCAGAACAAGATTGGACACCATATACCATTGGAGATATGATATATGAGGCTTTGACGTACGTCAAAGTCTCTTTTGAACTAGTAAAGTTCATCATACCATATCAATCACTTAAGCCTCTCAATGATGGATGATAGAGGTATGTACTGCAGTGCTTGATTGAACTTGCCCGTCCACGTACCTCGAAAGTACCTGCGTTCCCGGTATGGAGCTGCCACTAACCACAATCGCCAGGACCCCCACCATGACCCCGGCAGGCAGGCACTCAGGGTGTCTGCTTAAGCAAAGGATGCCGCGCTAATTGAATCACGGGGTGACGTGAAGTCCAGGTGGGGTCCCCGCATTAACACGCGTGCTTATCGAATGTTTAGGGCACAGAAGGCGCGTTTGTTCCTCGCGTTTCACATGGTGCCGCGCCTGCGAGTGACTCGGATTGGACTCGATTTTGGAAGCAGCGCACATCCCCGCATTTCCACTGAATGGCCAATTTCCATGGGTTCGGTCTCTTGTCTTTCTTCTTCAACCCATTCGATCAAGAGACTTTCCGAGACATCCACGACATCCGACATATCTCGTTTTTTCCACTTGGTCTTGAGTATTCCACACGGTCCTTCCAAGATCGTGTAGGATTGTCTACCTACGGTGCCCACCCCACCATCCTCGCAACAACTACTCGTTGGGACCAAAGACTTGCCTGATACTTTACCTCAACGTCAAATGACGCGTCGCGTGTTACGTGACTCTGTTCTTTCGTATTCTCCATCATACTCGACATTAACGAAGCGAACCCCTCACACGTCGAGCCTCAAAGGAACGTGTTCCCGTTGTTCAGTCAACCACTGAAACAAACAGACAAACCAGAACGGTATTAAAGGTACGACCCTTCTATTTTTGATCCATAGCCTCCGCAGCAAGAGCCTATGACAACCAATTGAATCCTGCGGACCGCGATCCTGTCTGTTCTTTCGGGTCTCAAGCTAATTTAGCCTACAGTGTACATACCATCGTCACCACAAAACCATGCCCGCGGTCAATCCCGAACACCGTGACGGCCGGGGCTTCAATGCACCGTCCGCGCGCGCACATGACGACGAGCCTAGGATCGACCTCCAGTGGCTTCAAGCACTCGTTGACAACAGCGAGAAGCGATCAGTAGATGTCCTCGAGAGGGCTGTCCGTGTCGGTGTCAAGGCTCTTGAGGGCCTCAAAGCTCCCCTCGAAGCCACCAAAGATATCGACGATACCTCAGCCGCCCAATGGCTTAATCTGATCAGTAACGTCCAATCTCGCGCCAAACCGACCCGCACTATTGTTGGTGTGGTAGGCAACACAGGAGCCGGAAAATCGAGTGTCATCAGTGCCGTTCTGGATGAAGAGCGTCTTCTAGCAACGAACTGCATGAGAGCCTGCACGGCGTCTCCGACAGAGATCTCGTACAATCACTCCGAAGACCCCGATGAACTCTACCGTGCCGAAGTCGAGTTCATCACAACCGCCGAATGGCTCAAAGAGTTGCAAGACCTTTACAGCGATCTCATTGACGGAAGTGGTGAGGTTTCGCGCGAGAGTTCCAACGAAGATAGCGAGGCCGGTATCGCATATGCCAAGATCAAAGCTGTGTACCCCCGCCTCGTTAAGGAGACGATGCCCAGGCATAACCCCGTGGAACTTGTAAACGAGCAAAAAGTCCGCAGTGTGCTGGGCACGACAAGGAAGCTTAAAGCCACCACAGCTGGCAGTCTCTACCGCCAACTGCAGTCGTACGTTGACAGCAAGGAGAAGAACACCGACAAGTCGATCGAGTACTGGCCTTTGATCAAGGTTGTCCGCATCTACACCAAGGCCTCTGTACTATCCACAGGAGTGTGCCTCGTCGACCTTCCCGGTGTCCAGGATTCGAACGCAGCAAGAGCGGCCGTTGCTGCGAATTATATGAAGGCATGTACCGGTCTTTGGATTGTGGCACCTATCACTCGTGCTGTGGATGATAAAACAGCAAAGTCACTGCTTGGCGACACTTTCAAACGTCAGCTCAAGTACGATGGCTCATATTCAGCTGTAACTTTCATCTGCTCCAAGACCGACGATATCTCGGTTACCGAGGCAGTGGAGAGTCTTAATCTTGAAGACCGTGTCTCTCAACACGAATCGCAGATTCGAATCAAAGAAGACGAAATCAAGAAGCTCAAGGAGAAGCTCGGCGACCTCAAAGATCAGGAAGCGGCTTGTGACGAGATCCGCGACCGCATTGACGAAGAAATGGAGAAGTGGGATGCGCTTCTCGACAAGCTGGAGAAGGGAGAGCAAGTCTACGATCCATCTCAAGATCAACAGACCAAGAAGCGAAAGCGTCATGGCGGAGCACGGGGAAGCCGGAAACGACGTAACAACGACCCCAATGACAGTGCCAGTGGCAGTGACAGCGGGAGTGGCAGCGGCAGCGAGGAGACCGACTCAGATGCCGACGTGTCTAACTCGAGCGATAAGGAAAATTCCGATCCGAAAGCTGGCGAAGAGAGAAAACCCTTGACGAAGGAGGAGATCGAAGACAAGATTTCTTCTCTGAGAGGTGAAAGGAAGAAGACCCGTGCGGGTATTACGGACCTCAAAGAACAGCAGAAAGAGACCCGGACAGTTATCAAGGAGATTGAGTCCGAAAAGAAGAACCTCGAGTCAGAGGTCAAGGCTGTTTGCATCCAAGGCAGAAACGAGTATTCCCGGACGGCGATCAAGAAGGACTTCGCTATGGGAATCAAAGAACTGGATCAGGAAACCGCAATCGAAGAGGACGAAGAGAGCTTCAACCCAGATGTCGACTTGCGGGACTATGACAAAGTTGCTGAGACCCTTCCTGTTTTCTGTGTCAGCAGTCGTGCTTTTCAGAAGCTCAGTGGGAGGTTGGTCAGGGACAAGTTTAACAGCGCTGGGTTCCGGTCACTCGAGGAAACTGAGATTCCTCAACTCCAGGCCCATGCGCAAAAACTCACAGAAAATGGTCGGGCTGCTAGCTGCAGAGGCTTCCTTTCTGCCCTTTCCCAACTTCTCAATTCGTTGAGCATGTGGGCGACCAATGACGGCACACGATCAAACCTTACCGACAGTGAGAAGCGAGCGGAGGAGAACCATCTGCGCAAACGGATCGACAAATTGGAGCAGGTAAGTCATTGACCTATCCCCGGGGTACTAGTCTACTGCTAACATCTTGCAGGAACTGGACGATGTAGTAAAGGAGACCATGAACAACCTCAAGGAGGCGCTTGCCGAGAACATCTATGAGATTTTCGACAAGTACTTACCTTTGGCAGCAGATCAGGCCTT